TTTCAATGCACTTTGGACTTCCTCCCTGAGTATCATTGGCTCTTGTTCATATGGTACCTCTTGAAATGGTTGAACATTAACCATTTCCTTTAGATACAAAAGGGTTAAGTAGAGAACCCAAATTTGTCATCTTAATACCTTTAGTTGAATATAATACAGCTTGGTATATATATCCACTAGTAGACCAAAGCTGAAAGATTTTTAAATTCCAAAATACGGCGCACTAACAAACGGTGTCTTTCTTTACCATATTTTACCAAAAATAATTATAATGAGGCTCTGTTATTTCAATACAATGCAAGGATAAGACTACTTGCTCTTGAGTCAGACAGAAATGGATCCAAATTCAGATTTACCATTTATTAGAACTGGACACTTAGGCAAGGAACCTAAATTTAAGTATTATTCCTCTTCTTTAAAATGGGAATCATATTACTAAGTACCTTATAGAACTATTGCAAAGAATTAAATAATACATGAAAAAAAAATTAACACAATAAGAGGCACACAATAGGAGTCCTGGTATGGCACTACGGGCTAATGCCCTGGACTGCAAAGTTGGCTTGAACCACAAGGTCGGCACTTCAAGCTCACTAGCTACTGTTCAGAAACCCTATATAAGGTTGCTATGGGTCGGAACCAACTCAACAGTACTTAACAACAATAACAAAGCACATAATAAAAAAATCAATAAAAGCTAGTTACCATTGTTATGAACATTATAAAGACATGAGACATAAATTATACAAAATTATCTATATGGTTACGCTATAGGTTTAATTGTTTTCCCTAAGACTTTTGCACATAAATGAATTTGACTTTTGAGATAGAATGTCTAGTGATGAACAGCATAGGTTTAACTGCAGTCAGTATTCTTGACTAATAAACATGTATTTCACTATTAAAATAGAAAAGTACCTTAGCTACATTAAGCAAGACTTGTACAGCATATCTGATGACTTCCATACAAGGAACACTACGATTACAACTTCGGATCAAAACAAATATTTTAGAAACTGCTCCGCTCTGGGCCATGTTCTCACAACAAAGTGGAGACAATCTCGTAACTACCTCTGAAAGGGAAAAAAAGAACATAGGTAAATTCAAAGGGCTAAAGTAAAGTTTTAGTTGATATTGTGGTTCTGCAATAGTCTTTAAACATTCCAAGGTAAACATTTATTTCTGATCTTACACAATACTGTTAAACACACACACACACAAACAAAAATCTAACCTAAGTGCTTTAATGCCTCAAGAATGGCTGAAAGGTGTTTATATGTTAAAAGATAATGAAGTGCAAGTGCCGTCCTTTTGTAGAGCTTATTTTCTTCTCGGATCTCTCGGCTAACCATCTGAAGACTTAGTCGTATAGCTTTAATTTTCTTACAATCAGTTTTCTTCCTCCAAGAATAGCCTCTCCATAATGCCTTAGAGAGATGAAACAGAGCAATTTTAAGATTATAGCATATGTTTTCAGTAAATGTATCCATTTCTTCAATGTAAATGTTTTCTGTACAATACTTTTCTGTACAATACTTTTCAACTAAAACTTTGCTTTTGGTTCTAATAAACAAGAAAACCATTTTTTTTTTCTAAAAAATGCATATATAGGAAGTCACTAGTCAATGAACAACAGCATCTAGACCTTTTCAAACAGATAAAATACCTTTTCCTTACAGATATTTGAACATAATAGGCTTACTAATGAAATCACGCTAGTGTAGTATTTAGGAATTATTTCATTGGTTAGTTTCTTAATTTTCAGAATGCATGTTCTGTTTCTAAAATGCCAGATATAAAGGTGGGTGAATTACAAGTCTCAATTAAAACCAAAAAATTTTCACTTACCTGAACTTTAGTGATTCCACAGTTAAGCTTTTCCTGTTTTTTATGAAGTAGAAAACGACGTACTGCTTTCTGTATTACTAATGCAGCTCTATTTTGTTGGCTTAAACATTCATGAACTTCATGCTGAATTTTTATTATGCTCTGATACTTCTGGTTAAGTATCTTTTGCTGTAACCTTGCTCGAAACCACCTCTGTTTAAAACATATGAAGATTTTTTTCACTTTTCCTTCATTTTATATATATATATGTATATATATAAAACAGAATACAAAAACGGGTTTGAAAAGTTCATCAAAAAAATCTCATTTTCTACTAATTTTTAAGAGTTACTAGTAACTAAGGAAATCCAAAACAAAAATGAGGTGCCATGTCTCATTTATCAGAACAGCAAAAGTCAGAAAGGCTTCAGATACCAACTATGAGAGAAGTGATAAAGCTACTTTGGAGAATAATTCACAGCTTTAATTTTGTGACATAAAACATCAAAGTATTCTTATTCATCAATGGCAAAATATCTATCAACTGCAAAATCTTTCATAAGTTGATCAGACATTATCTATTAAATTCCAAACAAAGATAATAGAAAAATTAGAGTTTTACCGAAAAAGTGAGGCTAACCTGAATGCAGATGACTGAATTGATCTGCTTCTTAGCATTTTTAATAGTGATGTGACATTTATAAGCTCTTTGAATTCTAATAGCAGACAGGTGAAAATAGGCAGCTGCTGTGAAGTGCAGAAGCCTGATTCTGCCTTTGTGTTCTAAACTCTGAAAGGAGGAAAACATATTACTAATCACATCTATGACACATAAGACAGCCAATCAAAATTTATTTTCATATAACCCCAATACCAGATGATCTATACTAGCAATAGTACTAAATTAACTTCTAATAATGAAAATCATTTACATTATAAATTCAAGTGAAAATCACTTTTCCTATACAACATTTCTAATAGTGACCCATAACTCAGGATAAGAGTATAGAAAGCAAAATCATATTTTGTGCACTTTAAGAATACATTTTAAACTTAGACTAATGAATAACACCTAGTTAACGCGCTGTAATACACTAATAAGTGGATGCTTTGGTGTGGCGCTGTAGGATCAGTACTGGACTTTGAACCAGTAGGTTGGCAGTTCAAACACACCAGTTGCTCTTTGGAAACCATACACAGAGTCGCTATGAGTCAGAACCAACTCAACATCATTTAATACCAAACAACAAGGGAAGTGTGGTGGTGGCAGGCGTTATATACCATGGAGTCAGTTCCTAGTCATAAGAGACCCTGAATAGGGTTTTCAAGACTGAAAATCTTTGTTCTTGTTGTTGTTATGTGCCGGTGAGTCGATTTCTACCCACAGCGATTACGGGAGCAGAAAGCCTTATCTTTCTCCTGCGGAAAGTCTGGGAGTTTTGAACTGCTGACCTTGAGGTTAGCAGCCTGACTCATAACCACTATGTGTATCAATATTGAATTCAAAAACAGTTTAAGCATTCTGAAACTGTTAAAGATAATGCTGTTTAATAGGACAAAATTACTTCACTTAGCTACTCTAGTAGTAAATGATTAAGCACAAATCCAGCACAAGACTCTTGCAGCATAAGCTTTCTAAAGCAGCCTTTATTTAGCCTTATAACTTTCTATTTATATTTAATGAACACAATATAAAAAATGTCTTTTTATCATCAAATTTAATGATTTTATCTTGACCAGTGAACATATTCGATGTCAGACATGTGCATGCACTCTCAAGTAGGGTTCTCACTTACAAAAGATGTAGAAGCTACAAGAACAGTTACAACACTCAAAGATTTGCTTAGTGGTAGCAAAATTATGAGTAACAATTGACCTCTTTCACATTCCACTTTTAAGATTAATTACATAAGGGAAACTATTCTATATTTTTGGTGGTGAGCATCTGTGGGAAATAGTAGGCTCATCAAATAGAAATCTACGGCAACCAGTGCTCTTGTTATGTGGCTCTGTAAAAACGGAGTGAATTCAAGTTATAACCATTAATGTTATAAGCATATTAGTTCTGAAATGATTCTCCTACATCTAAAGTTTGTTAACGTTACTTAACAATTACTTTCATTTTATAAAAGAGATATTCTACTTAAAAAATACTTACTCTTTTTCTTAATAACCACCCACGGATCACTGCTTGTAGGAAAACTGTAGCTTTTTTTAATCCAACATATTTTGTCCTTTCACACTTCCCAGCCTTCCTTGCTCGTATGTACCTTTGTATGATTAAGGCAGCAGATTTCTGCTGAAGAAAGGCCTGTCTTCCCTTATATCCTCTAAAATGTGCTTGGATCAAACACGCAGCTTGATGTTTCTAAAAGGATGAAATTACAACATTAATAAATAGAAATAGTAAGATTCTCAATCCACTGGAGGTTCTTAAATATCTCAATGTAAGAGACATTAGTGTAATTATAAGAGCATAAATTTTTTTTAGATATATAGCTTTAGAATGTCATATATCATAGATAGGAAAAATGACAGTATATTATTTGTAAGCTCATATAGACCTATAACTAAGATTGAAGTTTTCATAAAGGTGTAAGTCAGAGTAAATAGATATCTGTGTTCTCTTTCCTTCATCTTCTTGATAATTTTCATTGTGATGAGGAAAAGGATTAACATGACTAAAGGCAAATTAAAAGAAAAAAGAAAAGGTGTCTACAATATGGAGAGTAGAGTGGTTATTATAAACACCTATGAAAGAAGCTATTTTTCTATTTGAGAACCTTAGACGTCCATCAGTATGCACCTTAGATTTCTCAATTATAGAACATCCTGATAATCAAGTTCTTAGAAATGTAAAAAAGACTGAGTTAAATGAAAACTAGATTTGTTTTTAGCACAGCTCTCACCTATCAGCTGAGCAATCTTAGACAAGTCACTTCACTTCTATTTCCTCATCTGTAAAATTAGGATGCTAATAGCTACCTCAAAAGGTTATTATGAGGATCAAATTAGTTAGTAAATATATAAGACCTTAACCTCTGCCTGGTATATTTTAACTGTCAACAGTGGCAATGATAGTAAGTATTTATATAACTATAGAATATTACACGAATATCTAATTTATAAGTAAATATTAAATTTTGATTTAATTAAAAAATCATTACTGCATACATTCTTGTACTAGACAAAATATTGTATCTATTATGACTTTCTTTAAATAGTTTATTTTAAAATTACTTGGGTTTGAAAATATCTTATAAATATGCACATCCACAAATACTACAAAAATATTTTATTAATTAATAGAATTGACTGCAATAGCTTTGTGAAAAATTCACAATTAGATCTTAAAAATAACACTTTGTTTCCTGTTTGATAAAATAGTTTTTTACAAATAAGAAATGTTTTATACCTACTTTTATCCTCAATAAGTGCTCATGAACTATTCTTCCAGAAAGTATAGCTCTCCATCTTCTTTGAATTATAACTGCTGATGCTCTCATATTCAAAAACCTAAAAAGGTAGTCATTGGAAAGCTATTTCAAATGACTTCAATCTATTTAATATTTATTCTCTCTCTTAATAGAAAAATACAACATAAGATGGTGACAAATTTAAAATATAAAGAAAAGACAATTTATACTTAAATTCAACCTCTCAAGATTTTATATACACATTAATACATGAGAAAGAAATTTGGCAATTACCTTGGCAATATTCCAATAGTGGGTAAAAAGTTATAGCATTAAATACGAAGCTTAAAATTCTAGCATAACAAAGAATTTTGAAGAGGGGCAAAAGAAATGCAAATATATCAATGTAGGCAAAGACTTGATAAAGGGGTATTGAGAAGTAGAGCATAAATTCTGAGTCCAAATTGTAAGCAGGTCTGTGTACAGATAGGAGGGCATCAAGATGAGAACTCTGGCAATTCTGAGCAGCAACAGAGAAATCAGAAAGGGATGCTCATTTGAAAATAATATTCATCAAGTATATAAATGAAAATATTCTACAAAATGCGTGAACTTAGAGAGAAAAAAATACAAAGACTAGAGTTGACTCTTAAATGTCAAAGATGAAACTTGAGAAGGGACTGGATCTTTGATTCTTGATAATGTGGAATAGGGAGAAAGATTAACTTACCTTGTTGACATTTTTCTTAGAAAATAATGCTGAATGTAAAAAAACTTAGGTCATGAAAATGAGACACAGGTCCTTAAATAGTTGACAGTAGCAACTGTATTTTATATGCCAAGCCCTGATTCTACCTATGGAATTGATTTTAGAACTCTTCTAACACTTGTAATATGCTCAACAGTCTTTAAAACCATCACTGATAGAATAATTCCTCACTTAGGAGAAATGACAAAAAATATTTCTTATGCTGTGAAATAAAAAGTAGGTACTGTGGAAAGAGCTTCTAAAATATATATATATAACATCATGAACTAGGAATAGGGGAGTATAATTAGTACAGACTGGCTGGTAAGCACAGATTGGCTGGTAATCAGGGTCTTCATTATAAAGAGTATGCTGTTAAGTGCCATGGAGTCGATTCCGACTCATGGTGACCCTGTACAGGCTTTCTGAGACTTTAAATCCTCACGAGAGCAGAAAGTCTCATCTTTCTCCCGCAGAGCAGCTGGAGGGTGTGGAAAGCAGACTTTATGGTTCACAAGCTAGTGATTATTGTATGGAGCCACTGTGCTTCCATTAAGAGTAAGAGAAACACTCAATCAAAAGAAAATAAAATGGATAAGGAAATTTTTACCAGTCAACAATAAAATGGATCAATACACTATTCAGGATACCAAAACTTCCTAGATTCCTACTCTTTCTTCCATCCTTACCCTTAACCCTATGAACCCGAATTAATTATGACTTGTGTATGACTAAATGCATACACAAGGAACCTTGGTGGCACTGAATGATAAAAGCCTTGGACTGCTAGCCACAAGGCTGGCCATTCAACTCCACCAGACGTTCCATGGTGAGGCTTTCAGCTCCTGGAAAGATATACTGTCTCAGAATTCCTACATAGGATTGCTATGAATGGGAGCCCACTTGATGGCAATGGGTAAATGCATTTACACACACAAACACACAGTGAAACCTATGAGAGCGGTAACCACCTTGTTTTATTGGGTCTCACAAGTTTTCTGCGTGAGAGGGTGCAGTCTTACCACTTTCCTATCACTTGTTTTAGGAGAAAATATTTGAGCATTCCTTCTCTGACAGGTTTTTGCTTTACACAGATTCCAGCTTTCATAGGTATTACCGTATATGTTGTTGCTATTAGGTGTCCTCAAGTCAGTTCTGACTCATAGCAGTCTTATGTGCAACAGAATGAAACTGCCCTGTCCTTCTGTGCCATCATCCCAACCATTGCTATGTTCGAATCCCATGTTTTATATATGTATATATAAAGTGGATATCATCAAGGCTAAAGAATACCTAAAAAAAACAGATAGATGTATAAAATATATTTATATTATATTTGCTGTTAAGTGCTGTCGAGTCAATTCTGACACACTGAGACGCTGTATAGTGAATAAGGGAGATTGTAGAAGAATTGATGCCTTTGAGTTGTGGTGTTGGAGGAGAATACTGAAAGTGCCATGGACTGCCAAAAGAACCAATACATCTGTTTTGGAAGAAGTAGAACCAGAGTGCTCCTTGGAGGCCAAGATGGCTAAGTGTCGTCTCTCATACTTTGGACATATTGTCCGGAGGGAGCAGGATATTGTCGCTGGAGAAGGATGTCATGCTGGGTAAGGTGGAGGGTCAGAGAAAAAGAGGAAGCCCCCAACGAGATGGATCAGCCAGGTGGCATCATTGATGGACTCAAGTGTGGCAGCGGTAGTGAGGTTGGCCCAGGATCAGACATTGTTTTGTTCTGCTGTGCATGGGGTCACTATGAGTCGGTTCCGACTCGATGGCACCTGACAACAACAATAGTGGTGCTAAAGGATAAAAGCTCTGGACGGCTAGACATGTAGCTGGCTATTGGGTTTGGATCGCTTATCTTGTGTTTCAAAGTTCAGTGCTTATCCTACAGCACTACACCATGTGCTATGTATGAGGGGGAGTCAAAGATGATCCACACTTTGGCTACAGAATTTAAGCAACTTTTAGGAAAGACAAATACATCATTTTTTGACATAATCTCATTGCTTTTCAATACTCTGTCCATCTGTCAACAAGCTTTCCTGTTGCCTTATTTAAAAATGCTTTAGGCTGAGCTGCGAGCCACAGATGCACCGCTGTCTTCACTTTTTTATCAGAGGTGAATCTTCCTCCCTCAAAGGGCTGCATAAGGAGCTCTGGCAGCGTAGTGGCTGCTATCCTCAGGGTCAGCAGTTCAAAACTACCAGCTGTTCAATGGGAGAAAGATGAGGCTTTCTGCTCCTGTAAAGATTTATAGCCTCTGATACCCTGTATATAGGGTCACTATGAGTCAGAACCCACTCCACCTCCAGGGCACATAAAGTCCAGTGGAGCAAGATCAGGACTATAGGGAGGATGCTTTAACACTTCAAAAGGAAGCTTTTGTAGTGTCAACATTGTGGGCAGAGGTGTGTGGACGTGCATTGTCATGCAAGATCACAATGTCCCTGGATAAGCAGTCCTCTGCTTTTAAAGAAAGTTTAGTCTTCAGCTTTTCAGTGAGGATCTCACTGTAATGAGCACTGTTGGTTGAACCTTTTTCCTGGTAGTGCTCCAATACTGGCCCTTAAGAAAACTGTAAGCGTCAATTTTCCAGTAACGAGTGTTTTTAAGAAACTTTTGCATTCCTTTGAGTATTGGTCCTAATTTTGTTTGCACATGTCCAAATGCTTCTGTGTATGAGTCTGTGTGGCTTATTTCATAGGCAGAGTCATGGCTGATTTGCAAATGATCTGTCACATAATCCACTGTCACTCATCCATTCCACAGAATCATTTCAAGTGCATGTTCAATGTTATCATCAGTCGTGGATGTGGACACGGGTTTTACTATAACCAAAGTGCGAATAATTTTTAACTCATCCTCATAATATGTAAAGACATACTGTTACATTAAATGCAGAAAACAGCAACAAAACCAACCACACAAATTAAGCGTGGTGGTGGTTATGCGTTTTCAAGTTGGTACCAATTCATCACAACCTTGTATAGCATTTCCAAGGCCATAAATCTTTACGGAAGCAGAAAGCCTCATCTTTCTCCCTTGGGGTGGTTGGTGGTTTTGAACTGCAGACCTTTCTCTTACCAGCTCAACACATAACCTACAAAGAATTTTAAAGTCATTAAGCAGTGCTATTTTACATAAGGCCTCAACTACCATACACATGCATACACTCATTCTCACCCGTAGCTACGATACATTACCGTGTTCTCTCCAGTTTGGTATAGAAGCAATCCTGAATGATTTTAACAGCTCGTAATACAGCTAGATAGTCCTTACGTGTTCTACAACATCTATACCAGGCTTGAATCTTGCAGGCAGCTTTCATTTCATGTAATGATTTCCTGGCTTTATATCGCCTCCACATAGCCTATTAAACATGTAAGCAAAGCAAATCTGTAATGAGTGTTCTATTTACTGTAAAATTTAAGAATCACTATTAAAGACCATTAATAAGGTTAATACAAGGTTAGCAGAGACAAAAATCAATTGTAAAACTATAGTCATGTCATGTCCACTCTATTAGGCTCAATCATCTTGATACACAGAGCCCTAGGAGTTAAAAAAAAAAACAAACAACTGAGGAACCCTGGTGCTTACTACATGTTTACTATGTGTTTTACACCTTTTGGTTGGCTACCAGCTCCAAAAAAACAACCCCAAATCAAACTCACTGTCACTGTGTTGATTCTGACTCCTAGCAACTCTATACAGAATTCCTGAGATTGGACATCTTTATTGGAGCAGACAGCCTCATCTTTCTCCCATGGAGCACTGGTGGGTTTGAACAGCGAACCCTGTGGTTAGCAGTTTGGTGCTTACCCTATGGCATCACCATGGTTCTTCTCTGGTTATCAGCTCAGCCTAAGATGACTCTAACCAGTGCTTTAAAAGTTGTAATACATGTACAATAATGTGCCATGTCCTTACCACCCAATCCATTTGGAAGAACAGACTGAGAATGAACACAGTGGCCTATTTACTATATTCTCTGGGGAAGAAGCAGACTCTCCCTCCTCCCACCCACTCACCCTGCGTGTATTCTGAGTCTCCTGTCCACCCTGAAACAGAATGCTGAGAGCTCCTAAGCATTAGAAAGCTGCCAGAACTTCCAGTTTTGACAGCCACGTAGCTGGCTACAAGTTTTAGTGATAGCTGCCATTTCCTGAGCACTACTCTTTGAGTCCTTACAATAACATGAGGAAAATAGGGTCACAGAGTTTAAGTGACTTGTCAGTGGCACATATAGACGAAACGTGAAAACCACTTCATTTCATCTTTACTATGCATTTGAGTTATGGTGTTGGAGGAGAATATTCAAAGTGCCATAGGCTTCCAAAAGAACCAACAGATCTGTGTTGGAAGAAGTGCTGTCAGAGTGCTCCTTGGAGGCCAAGATGGCCAAACTTGGTATCTCATATTTCGGACATATTGTCAGCAGGGACCAGTTGCTGGAGAAGGATATCATGTTTGGTAAGGTGGAGGATCAGAGAAAAAAAGGAAGACCTCCCCAACGAGATATTTGGCCAAGTGGCAGCATCAATGGACTCAAGCGTGGCTGGCAACAGGATCGGGTATTTTGATCTCTGTTTTACAGGAAAAGAAATTGAGGTTGAGAGACTTGTTACTAGAGTCAGAAAAAGTCAAATTTGAACCTAAGTCTGTTGGACTCCCAAACTCCTGCAACACACACCGCAGTCACACCTTAAAACCCAAAACAAAACCCATTGCTATCAAGTCAATTCCAATTCATAGTGACCCTCGAGGGCAGAGGTGGAACTTGGAACTCAATGGGGTTTCCAAGATTTGGGGGATTAATTACTTAATGTAGTTATTAGTAAGGCAAGAATTACATATGGTCAAAATTACTCTTACAATTTCTTTAACTTACTAAGAGTATATTATATATAGTTTTAAATGTAAATAACCTTGAATACCAACATATATGCATAAATGCATGAAGGAACATACAGTATATATTGTTGTTAAGTGTAATCATGTCAGTTCTGACTCATAGTGATCCATAGGGTTTCCAAGGAGTGGATTGTTGGTTTGAACTGACAATCTTGTGGTTAGCAGTCCAGTTCTTTTCCAACAGCGCCATTCTAGGATTTCATTAGTATACTACTGTTGTTGAGTCCCAGACTCAGTTCCGACTCATAGTGGCCCTGTATACAGTTTCCAAAGAGCAGCTGGTGGGTTTGAACCGCTGACCTTGTGGTTAGCAGTCCAGTGCTTATCTTACAGCATCACACCAGGAGCCATTGTATATATTGTTAAGTGCCATCGAGTCAGTTCCGACCCATAGCGACCCTGTATTGGGCCATCTTGCTGCCCTGCAGAATCATCTGAGAGCTTTTAACAAGTCTTAATGGTAGCGTAGTGGTTACGAATCGGGCTGCGAACCAGAAGGTCAGCAGTTCGAAACTACCAGCTGCTCCGCGCGAGAAAGATGAGGCGATCTGCTCCCGTAAAGATTTACAGCCTCGGAAACCCTTTTCAGGGTCGCTATGGGTCGGAACTGACTCGACGGCACTTAACAACAACAACAACGCCTAATTATTGTACATATGCCATTAATGTCCAAGTCAAATTCTGAAATTCATAGAGCTCTCAAACAAGTCAACTGCCTACATCGTCTAGATGTTTCAGACTTCATGCATGCCAATATCAACTCATCATCCATTTCCAGATTTTTGTTCCATATCTCAGTGAACAGGACATCTACCTAGTTACTTAAGCTATAAACATGGCATGATTCCTGGCTTTTGACTCTATACCCTGCCAAATCTATTCTTCAAATTGTCACAATCTCCTATAGTTAAAGAAAACCATAAACTAGACCATGAAAGAATTGATGCATTTGAGTTATAGTGTTGGAGGGGAATATTAAAAGTACCATGGAGCGCCAAAAGAACAAACACATTTGTATTGAAGAAGTACAGCTACAATGCTCCTTAGAAGCCAGGATGGTCAGACTTTGTCTTATACTTTAGACAGATTATCAGGAGGGACCAATCCCTGGAGAAGCACCTTGAGGTTGGTAAAGTGGAGGGGCCACAAAAAAGAGAAAGAACCCCAATGAGATGGATTGATATTCACAGTGGCAACAGCAATGGGCTCAAGCATAGCAATGATTGTGAGGATGGTACACAACTGGGCAGTGTTCCGTTCTGTTGTGAATAGGGTCACTATGAGTCAGTACCAACTTGACAGCACAACAACAACTACAACAACATAGAGTAATGTTGTTATTAAGTACAGTCGAATCAATTTTGACTCATAAGGAACACTGTACAGGGTTTCCGAGGAGTGACGACAGATGTGACCCACCAACTTTTCAGTTAGCAATCCTGTGCTTATACTGAACTATATGAATATCTTCCACCTGATCCACTTCTTATAGTGTCCTACCTGGTGTCCAAGTCCCTGCCAGTTCTTCTTCCACATTTCTGCCAGAGAAATTTTCAAAAATAAACATGAGTCTAGTTTTAAATTCCTCACTGGAGGAGATCATGTAGTAGTGGGTTAGAGAAAAAGAGGAAAACCCCAATGAGATGGACAGGCATAGTGGTAGCATCAAAGGGCTCCAACGTAGCAACAATTGTGAGGCCCAGGATCGGGCAGTGTTTCGTTCTGTTGTGCAGAGTCGCTATGAGTTGGTACCAAGTTGATGGCACCTAACAACAATAACAACAACAAAGAGCATCTTAGTCTGGAGGCTAAAGTCTGAAGCCCTTTGAAGGGCTGAATTTGTAGGGCAGCACACTTTTCACAAAGTATGTCTATCCATATTAAGAAGCTCTGGTTAACAAAGTGGTAAGGAAATAGTTACCTATTTGTCTGAAATTATGCACAATAGATTTGACTTTTAACCATGAGGTAGTTGGTTCAAACCCACCAATGGTGCCTCAGAATAAAGATGAAGCTTTTTGATCCTGTAAAGATTTAGTCTTGGAAGCCCTATATTGAGTCACTATGAGTTGGAATGGATTTGATGGCAGTGCGTTTGATATTTTATGTATGCTGTTTTTGGATTTTCTACCATATCTGCTGTGAGTGGAATATTCCTTTCCATATATTTTCCATGGCTAATTTCAATTTATCTTTCAGCTAAATTTTTCAACTCAAGTTGCTCTAGGAAGCCACCTCTGATACCTGATATTAGCTTAGGTTTCTACTTGCTATATTTCCAGTAGTATAATTGTAATTGTTCTTCCTTCCTCAATTAAGTTGAGATCAGCAACTCAATAGAGCTTCTTGTTGTTAAGTGCTGTCGAGTCGGTTTCGACCCATAGTGACTCTGCATAGGGTTTCTGAGGAGTGGCTGGTGGGCTTGAACTACCAACCCTGCAGTTCAAAATGATTTTGCAATTTAGCACATTAAACCACAGCACCACACTAGGGCAGCTTACTCACAGTCCATCATTCCATTTACGCAGCAGAGTATTTTGCACATTGCAAACACTTAGCATTTGTTGACTACATTATTTTGAAGCATAACAACAATTCAATAAGATATCAACACATCACACATAGGTCCAAAGCCCAGCCTATTATGGCAGAAAAGAAATAGCTTCCAAGAGATTCAGTGACTACCTCTCTGTGCAACATTGGGAAATTAAACTCTCTTGTCGTTAAGTGCCATGGAGTCGGATCTGACTCAGAGCACCTTATATAGATAGGGCTTTCTGAGAAACGGTACGTTTGAACTTCCAACGCTGCGGTTAGCCGTCCAGTGCTTATCCAATGCCACACAAGGACTCAGCTATCTTATTTCAAAGAATACAGCCATTACCCTACATTCATCACATAGTTGGAGAATAGACTAAAGAAAATATGAAAGTCAAAAGTGCTCAACACTTTGCAGAAAGTATGTCTATCTATACTAAGAATGTCTAGTCAACAAAGTGGTAAATAAGTAGAATTATCCATTTGGCGAAACTGTGCACAATAGCACTTTACCTTAGCTTAAAATTGCCACTTAAACAAATAACTTTGCTAGAGAACTTTCAACAATCAGACTATATTTTCAAAATTCTTCTAAGAGTGCTACATCAACGCCTACTGACATGTGCCAACCCTAGGTGGACTATGGCCAAAACAATCTCAGTCCTGTGTGTGGTCTTTCCTTAATTATTATTGGTACCTTTTTTCTCACAAAAATGTCCTACCTTGGAAGATAAACAAAATGGTCATTCCAAGTAGTATTCTTTATGACCGGCATAAGTTGATTTTTATAAACATATACTGGTAAAAAGAATCATTTCACATTAAAATTCAATATATAAATACCTGGATTTTTATGCTGCTATCTTTAATTCTCTGAAACTTCTGTCTCTGTAGAAATCCTTTCACTCTAGCTTGGATGATGATAACACTGCTTCTGATTTGTAAATAAACTCTTCTTTGATATTTTGCCCTGTAATGATTTTGTAATACTACTGCTGCTTTTCTATACAACAAAAACTGTTTTCTGGTTTGCCACACCCGGAAATACTGCTGTAAAGTGATAACAGCTCTTTTCTGATGAACAAATCTTCTCCGATACAGAGCCATGTGAAGGAAGGACTGAATTCGTAGGGCAGCACCCTTCTGCGTTTCCAGTTTTCTGGTGACCATTTTATGAAAAGCTTTTTGAATAGTCACTGCAGCCTTTCTCTGGGAGCAGTACTCTGCTTTTTGTGAACGAGCAAGTAGAGAGGCTTTGTACCACGTCTGAATCCTAACTGCTGCACTTTGAACAGTTCTATACCGAGTTTTAGTTCTGTAACAGCGGAATGCAGATTGGATGATGATGGCTGCCTTCTTTTGCTCAGCTATGTTTTTCAATTTCTGTCTAGTTTTCATGACTCTAAAGGCAGCCTGAATAGTTTGAGTAGATTTCCGTATGGCTAGAAATCTCTTTCTTTCCATTTTCATTCTGACGTATGACCTATAATAATTCTGTATAACAATGGTGGCAGCTTTCTTTGCTTGGTAAACAACTCTGGCCTTGTGCATGCGGTAGAATGACTGAATTAGTGTGGCAGCCAGGTGCTTTTGTTGGATATCCCTTTGCCCCTTAAAGCCTCTGTAAGACTGTATACAAATAACTGTTTGGGTATGATTTCGCATTGCAATTAGTGCTCTGAATCTTCTTTGAACAAAAATAACTGCAGCTCTGAGCTGGAGATACTGCCTCCTTACTCTGAAGGCTTTAAAGTGCTTCTGCACAACAGTGGCAGCCTGATGTTCTTTCTGTATTTGCTTCCGAATGTCCATGCCCTGGAAACCTTCCTGAATACAACTTGTTGCTTTCTTGAGTGCACAGTGTTGATGAGCTCTCTGTTTGTTTTTATTTGCTCTGTATCTTCCTTGTATTACTTTCGTAGTCCACTTAACTTTTTGGTAGAAATTATACTGCCTGTGCATTCTATATGTGCTTTGGATTACAATAGCTGCTCTGTGCTTTTCCCATAAAAGCTGTGGTGCTTTCATTCCCTCACAAGCAGCCTGAATGACCACAGCAGATTGCTGTTGTCTGATACAGTTTTCTCTTTGCAATTTTGTAGCTCTGTATGCTCGGTAATGCTGCTCAATTAGAATTGTGGCACGTTTATAAATCTGAAATCTTATATAAGCCCTGTGCATTCTGAAAGTGGCCTGAATGAGAACTGCAGTTCTTTGTATCTTTTTCTTTGTCATTAACCTTCGATAAGATGACTGGATAGTGATAGTGGCTGAATGCACAGCTTTCAAGTGTCTCCTGGTTTTCATACCTCTAAAAGCAGCCTGAATGACCACTGCCGAGCTCTTCTGTTTTAGGTAATGTTCTCTTTGCAGTTTCCCAACTTTGTTTGCTCGATAGTGATGCTGCGTTATAATTGAGGCACATTTCAGAGCCTGGTATCTCACATGTGCTCTATGCATTCTGAAAGTAGCTTGGATGAGAACTGCAGCCCTGTGCTTATCTTTTATTACCAGCAGTCTCCTGTATGGTGACTGGCTTTTAATGATTGCCTTTTCCAACTGTAGGGATTGTTGTAAGCGATGCCTTGCACAAGCATTTGCATGGTATTTTCTCTGAATCCAAATAGCAGTTTTCTTAATAGACAGGAATCTTCTTCTCACCATTAAAGTTCTAAATCTCCTCTGAATAAGGGTTGCTGCTAAATGCATTTTTTTCAAATGTCTTCTAGTTCTCATTCCTCTAAAAACAGCCTGAATGCATATTACTGAATGTCTCAATTTGTTATACCTTTGAAATTGTATGTTTCTTTCCTTTACTGCCCGGTATCTTTGCTGTACTGTTTTTGTTACCTTCTTTAGTTTAGTAAAATACTTTTGCTGCCTGTACCTTCTATAGTGTGACTGAATGAGTGTTGCCGCACTCTGCATCCTTCCTAAAGCCTGTCTGACTCTTAAACCTCTAAACCTTGCCTGAACAGTAGTAACAGCTTTCAAAATTGCCAAGTACTTAGCTCGCTGCATTTTACCATGATAGTATGCTCTATATTTTACTTGAATCACAATAGCTGCTGTTCTCATTGTATGGTATCTTATTTTTGACTGATGCATTTTAAACACAGCTTTAATAACAGTGGCAGCCATGTGCATGTGCTGAATATGCCTTCTTACTTTGATGCCTCTATAAACAGCTTGCATCATAATTACTGTCTTCTTTAAATTAAGATATCCCCTACGTTGCTGTTTTGCAATCTTAATGTCTCGATACCATCTCTGAATAGTAATAGCTGAAGCTCTCTGGGTGGCATATTTCTTTCTGGCTTTGTATGCTTTATATTTAGATTGTATAGTGACTGCAGCTTTGTTGCTCTCTCTTACTTTTTTTCTCACTCTTACACCTCGGTAAGCTGACTGTAAAATGACTACAGCTGCTTTTGTTTTCACATACAAATGGCGCTGCTGCTGTCCAACACTATAAGCCCGATAATTCATCTGAATGACAAGAGCAGCTCTTTGCATGGCTCTCCACTTCCTCTGTTGCACATACATTCTATAGTATGACTGGATGATAATTGCACATGTGTGCTGCCTTTGAATCTGTCTCCTCAGTTTCTTTCCCTTCCACATGGCTTGAAGCATCAGTGCTGCACGACGGAGTTTGACGTATGTCATACGCTGCTTCTTTCCTATAGTACTTGCTCTCAAGTGTTGCTGGATTACTAAAGCTGATCTTTTTAACAATCTAAACTGTTTCTGAGCCTTGGCCATTCTAAAAGCAGACTGAATCTTCACGGCAGCATCACGTTCCCTTCTGATCTGCTTCCGAACTTTCCACCCACGGTAAGCAGACTGGAGAAATATCACAGTGGTTTGCGTCTTTAAAAAATGGCTTCTTGTATCATAAACAGACTTGTATGCCCTGTACCATCTCTGAATCTTGATAGTAGACTGAAGCACAGACTGATATTTCACTCTTTTACTATAGCCTCTAAAAGCAGTTTGAATTTTAACAGCAGCTATAGATTGTTGTTTGATTAGCTGGCGTACTTTATAACCTCTGTAAGCTGCCTGCAAACAGATAGCTGCTCTTTTAACTTGCAAAAAGTTTTTCCTCTGATTGACTCCTGCTTTGTTTGCATGATAGTAATTCTGAATGACAACAGCTGCTTTATGTATTTTCAGATAGTGCTGCCGCATCTTTCTCATTCTGAAAAATGACTGTAGTGAAATAGCAGCCTTTCTTTGCAACCTCATCTGCTTTCTGACCAGGTATCCTCTAACACAAGCTTGCAGTTTGATACAAGATTTCTGCACCTGCATATATTCTTTTCTCTTTAGTGCAGCCATTTTTTGAGATCTGTACCATTGCTGGATACATAGAGCCGCTTCTCTAGAACGTAAAAATTGTTTGCGTGCTTGTTTCATTTTGACAATTGACTGTAACTTTACTGTTGCATTTTTCAGACTCATAAATTCTTTACGAGCAATATAAGCCCGATAATATGATTGAATCTTTGTAACAGACGTTATGATGTGAATGAACTTTTTCCTAGCTTGCATCCTTCTACATGCAGACTGTAGAACAATGACAGCAGAACGTGTTTTCTGATAGGTATCTCGAACTTTCCTGGCTGAAATGTAAGCTCGGAAATGAACTTGAATTATAAGGGTGGCATTTCTCATCTTCTTATATTTCTGTAGTTGTTGATGTTTTCTTATGTGTGCCTGTAATTTGATAACAATCTTCTTAAAGTTTAGAAATTGAATTTTTTCCCGTCTCATTCTCCAGTAGGACTGAAAAACACAAGCAGCTCTAATCTGCCTACGTAAATTACGAGCTTTCATTCTCCTGAAAGCAGCCTGCAGTCGAATGGCAGCAGCACGTTTCTGCAAATACTGGGTACGTTCACGCTTTCCTTTCACATATGCTTTGTAGTATTTCTGGATTGTCAGAATAGACTCTTTCTTTCTCCTATATAACTTTTGAGCTTGAAAGCACCTAAATCTTCTCTGAATGATAATAACACTACATCTAACATGAATGTAATTTCGTAACTCTTTGTGCATCCTATACCATGACTGAATGACAATAGCAGACTTTTCTTTTTTCACTTGTTTCTTCACTTGCCATTCTCTAAAAGCTCTTTGCAAAATTATCGCAGCTTTTATTTGTAACGGCATTTTGCGTTGCTTCCATCTTCTAAACGCTGACTGAATTGTAAGCACGGATGACTTTAGCAGTTGGTATCTTTGTTGATCTTGTTTTCTCCTGAAACAAGCACGCCAACGCCTCTGAATTACAACTGTAGCCCATAGATACCGTCTGTAAGAAGCAACAGCAATTATCATTCTTATCCTAGATTGCAGGATGATTGAATAATACTTCAATTTCAGAAATCTTTTTCTAGTGGAGTATCTTCTCCAATAACCCTGGGAAAAGGTAAGAAAAGAAACAAAGTAAAATAGATAAAACTTTCTATAATTTTTCTAATATTACTTAAAAGTTAGCATAATTAAAAACTCAATATACTGTGGCAAAAGATACTTGCTTCTTTTGTTTGCAGTTTACTTTGTACAGTGATAACAGTTGTGGCCAGAGCAGAAATCCCTGAGTAAGCCTTGATTACATTTATTACTATGTTTGTATTCCAACGAACCCTGGCAGCCTAGTGGATTATGAGCAGGGCTGCTAACTGCAAGGTCAGTAGTTCGAATCTACCAGTCACTCCACAAGAGACAGATGAGGCTTTCTGCTCCTATAAATATATACAACTCCAGAAACCCTCTTCAGGGTTGCCATGAGAAGGAACAGACTCAGTGGCACACAACCACCACTACACCATCATATAGTGTCACACGAAATAGAAGCATGTTTACATCATACCAGAAGCAAAAGAGTCAAAAGCAAAGTACAGTAATATTTTTTGTTACCTGCTGATTCTAGCAGACCTCTGTGGGACAAGCACTGGCGAACTACAAGGATTGAGCCCACCAATTGCTCTGTGGGAGAGAAATGAGGCTTTCTGCTCCCACAAAGATTTACAGCATCGGGAACCCTATACAGGGTTGCTAAGAGCCAGAACTGACCTGAAGGCAACTTCACAACAAACTATCATAAAGATTAGCAACTGTTTCTGTGAGGGCTTCTGTACTATTGCATTAAGGGCAGATAACATAAACACACTTGCTCACTTTGTTATTTGCATAATGTAGAAGTGACTTCATTTCCTCCTACTTAAGAATTACAAGGTTAAGGAGGAGAATTCAAGGGAGATTTGAGAAGTGATAAACTGTCTCTTGAATATGACCTGACAGAACGCCCCTCACCTCCCCATACCCTACAATCGCCTCCTTATTTGAACCCAGCAATGAGGTGGCTCACCAGAAAAGGCTACAAATCCTCAGGCAGACTGGAGTCCTGGTGTGGTGCAGTGGGTTAATGAGCTGGACTACTACAAAGTCAGCTTGAACCACAAGGTCAGCGGTTCAAGCTCACCAGCTGCTCCTGGGAAATCCTATACAGGGTTACTACGGGTTGGAACTGACTGGACGGCACTTAACAACAACAACATTATCTAACTAACCTCAGGATACAGGATATAGAAAAAAGCTCTGGACTTTTTTCTGCCATTAAGTCCATTTCCTTGTCTGAACAATACCAAGATTGTGGTGGTATTCCTTGTTGTGTCTTACTTTAGGGCTAGGTCCCTGCCTCTCCTTTAGTATACTCATTACGCATGAAGCTGTGCTTGGCGCAAGCAGACATACATGAAGAGAACGAGACTCTATAGACTCTTTGCCTTTAAGTGTCCCCAGTAAACATGGCTTTATTCCTGTGCTGCGTGTCACAAGGCTTTCTTCCTACCCTTTAGCCTGAGAAGAAATGCTGTAAATTGAATACATAAGTAAACGTTAATATTATATAGCTCAGTTTACTTGTGTGATATGGTTTGAAAACATGAAGCAAATATATCCTTCAGCACCTCATCAGGACTCCAAAGTACTTTTGAACTACCTTTAAAGAAATAGGAAAAACAAAACAAACTTCATTGCTATCAAGTAGATCCCAACTTATAGTGGCCTTACAGGGCACAGTAGAATAGATGCATTTGGTTTCCTAGGCTACAAATATTTACAGACGCAGACTGCCACATCATTCTTCAATAGGGGGGTTGATGAGTTCAAACCACCAACTGTAAGGTTAGCAGTCAAATGTATATAATCCATTTACCATTATTCTTGTTCCTCTAAGTATTTTGTTTGCAAAAACCTCAAATTCATAAGTGAAAGGTCAGTGTGGCTGGCTTATTTTATACTTGCATACCACTCCTCCTCAATGCTGCTACTAATCTGTGATGAAAAATGAATCCGTTTTGATATATAACATGGACAAGAAATCCTGCTTCTTTTCTAACAACTCTGCTCCTTTTCTATCCACACTGTTACATATCTATTAAAAATGAAGATCTTTATGGAGTATGTATTTCTGTAAGACAAATCAGTATTCGCCACAGGATTTTCTTAAAAGCTCATATTTTCATACTATAATATTCAAAATACTTAGCAAAGTAATACTGTGAAAATCTCAAATTTCACAGAAAAAATAATTAATAGATGTCAATGCTGAGAATACACAGACTTTAGAATTATCTGACATTAAAAGAGCTCATGTAAAAATGCTACAAGGGTAAACTGTTTAAATTAATGTAACGACAGAAAGTGTCAGCAAAAACGTAATAGAAATAGAAATAACCACCAAATGGAAATATCAGAGCTGAAAAATACAAAAACCAAAACAGATAATGCACTGGAAAGGTTCAATAATGGAATGGAGATGACTAAGGAATTAATGAACTTGAAAAGAGATAACAACTTATCCAGTCTGAAAGGAAAAATGATAGGGAATTGGGGGGGAAAATGAACAGTGTCGGGGACCAGTGGGACAATCTCAATTGATCTGTGTTTACAATGTCCTTGAGCAGGGGTGGGGAAAAGTCTGGCCTTTGGGCTGTATAAGGTCCGTGAAGTCATTTGGTCTGGCCTTGCCAAGTTCCAGGTACCACACTGTTGTTGTTAAGTGCCATCAAGTTGTTTCCAACTCATAGGGAACCTGTATAGGGTTTTTTGACTAGTGGCTGGTGAGTTTGAACCGTTAATCTTTCAGTTCAAACTGACCTTGTGGTCCAGTGCTTATCCTACAGCACCACACCAGGACTCCAGCCATCACATTTATAGTTGTTAAGTCCTGTTGAGTCAATTCGGACCCATAGCAACTGGTAAGCTTGAACTGCTGACCTTGCAGTTCAAACCAACCACAGTGCCACACGAGGGTGCTAGCAATCATGTTGTTGCTGTTAAGTGCCATCGACTCGGTTCTGACCCATAGCGACCCTGTATAGGGTTTCCGAGGAGCAGCTGGTGAGCTTGAACCACTGACCTTGCAGTTCAAATGGCTTTGCAGTCTGGCGCTATTAACCCACAGTGCCACACCAGAACTCCTGCAATCATACTGTTGTTGTTGTTAAGTGTCGTCGACTCAGTTCCGACCCACAGTGACCCTGTACAGGGTTTCTGAGGCTGTAAGTCTTTACGGGAGCAGAAAGCCTCATCTTTCTCCCTCAGAGCATCTGGTAGTTTCAAACTGTCAACCTTAAGGTTCACAGCCCGATTTGTAACCACTATGCTACCAGAGCTCCTAGCAATCACATTAGGGGTAACTTAATTAAATGTCTGACCAAATTCAGCAGGTTAATTTTTAAGTTGGCAATTTTGTATAGCCTGCGATTGATGTTACAACTTTTGGCAGAAAAAAGTTTCCCCACCCCTGTCCAAGAGCATGAGCAGAAAGAAAAGTGCAGAAAACACTAATAGCCCAAATCTGCCAAGATTTTAATAGATTCAAAATTACAGGATCAAAAACTCAGTCAACTCCAAGCAAGTTAAATTAAAAGAAACACATGGCCAGACAACAAGCTGCTAAAAATTATCAACAAAAATTCTTAAACGCAGTCAGAGTGAAATGACACACTACCAACAGAGAAACATTCCACCTAACAAGAGCAGAATTCATTCTTTTTAAGTGCACATGGAACATTCACCAAGATTAGGTGGTCAGCAAACTTTTCTTTTTCCAAGGCCAGATACTAAGTATCTTCAGCTTTGTAGAATTCTTTTGTTGCAAAACCTCAATTCGGCTATAGTAAAGCAAAAGCAGCCATTAACAATACCTAGATATATGGAGGTAACCTTGTTCAGAAAATTACATTTACAAAACCTGGTAGATAATACATGCCAAGTTTAGACCACTAGTCATATTCTGCCAACCCCTGATCCAGGGAGACAGACCTCTTTCGGGTCATAAATCTTAACAAACTTTAAATGATAGATATCAAATAGGGTGTATACTCTACTCATAATGAAATTAAAATAAAAATCATTAACAGAAGAACAGGAAATTCTCCAAACACTTGAAAGTGAAAAACATACTCATAATTCATGGGTCAAAGAAAACATCTTCAAGGAAAATTAGAAAATAGTTTGAACTGAATAAAAATGAAAATACACCTTAGCAAAATGTATGGTATGCAACTATATAGCAGGGCTTAGAAATCTGTATCATTAATTTATTTTATTGAAGGAAGGACTCAAATCAATTACCTAAGCTTTTGCCGTAAATGAGCCTTGAGATCAATGAGATCTAAAAATTAAACACTTAAGCATATTAAAAGACTTCTCCAAAAGAGTAAAAAGAGAACCTAGAGATGAGGGGAAACTTTCTGGCGATGACCTATCAGAAAGGGTCTAATCTCTGAAATTTATAGGAAATGTAGACACCTCAACAACAAAAGGACAAACCACAATTCAATTAAATATGGGCAGAGGACATGAGTAGACGCTTCACCCAATAAGACATTTAGGTGACCAACAAACAAGAAGAAATACTTGCAATCATTAGCCACTGGTAATGGTGGTGGTATGTCACCGAGTCAGTTCTGACTCATAGTGACCCTGTATAGGGTCAAAACAACAATGATATCATCTCACCCCAACATTAATAGCGAAGTTTTAAAAGGCAGAAAGCAAATGCTAGCAAGGGTGTGGATAGACTGGAATCCTCATACAACGCTGGTAGGATTGGAAAATGGTACAACCACTGTGAAATATGGCATGTTGTTGCTCTGAAGTGCAGTCAAGTCAGTTCTGACTCATAGAGATCCTGTATAGGGTTTCCAAAGAGCGGCTGGTGGGTCTGAACCACCAGCTTTACAGTCAGCAGTCCAGTGCTGATTTTCAACACCACACCAGGACTTCCAAAATATGGTATACCACTTTCTTAAAAACTTGAAAATAGAAACAGCATATAATCTAACAACCCCATTACTATATATATCCTAGAGAAATAAGAGCCGTGACATGAAAAGATGTATTCATGCCCATGTTCGTAGGGCATTGCACACAATAGCAAAACGATGGAACAACTTAAGAGCCCGTTAACAGATGAAGGGATAAACAAATTATGGTACATATAAACAATGGAATACTACAAAATGCTAAAACAATGGTAACTCTTCAGAATAGCTTGTAACATGGATGAATACTAAGGACATTAAACTGAGGGAAATTAGTCAATCACAAAAGGACAAATATTATCTGAGACCATTATTATAAAAGTCAAGCAAAGGTTTAAATATAGAAAGAAATATTCTTTGATGATTACCAGAGATAGGAGAGGAAAATCACTAAAGGCAATATACTGTAAGTGGGAGGTTAGCACAATACGAAAAAAGATACGAAAAACGTGTTAGTCATAATAAAACATCTTGAATGAATGAAACACTGGGCTTGGGGAACTGGGAGTCCGGCCACAGGGGATATCTAGGCCAAATGGCATAACAGAGTCTGTAAAGACTACTTTGGTGAGTAGTGACTGAGGTCTTAAAAGCTTGCAAATTACAGTTAAGTGAGTAACGTCATTCAAAACTACATAGTTTTGGGGTCAAACGTTTAAGGGCTCGGAGCATTTATGGATACACAGTTGATGCAAACCTTTTGGTTAGCAGCTGAGTACTAATGCCACATAAATTACTCTATTTTTAGTATGAGATTGAGACGATCTACAAATTGACGTTAAGTTCAAAAGACTAATGGGCCATGTGAAACTTAGCTTCCACTCCCCTGAGATCAGAACTAGATGGTGCCCAGGTACCATGACCAGAAAACAGTCAGGTCTATAAAATGAGGAAGGAGTGCAGGGAGGAATGCACTTCTTCGAATAATCAACCATGAGATCATCAAGGCAGCATCTGTCCAAAAACAAAACTCAAAAGGCAGGAAGGAGCAGGAAGAAGGACCAATAGTAACAGGGAACACAGGAAGTGGGAAGAGTGCTGTTGCATTGTGGAAATTGTAATGTGGAAATTATAAAACACAATGTGTATAAATGGTTGAATGGAAAACTAATTTTTCTGTACATTTTCACCTAAACCACATTAAAAAGTTTTTTGTTTTTTTTTAAAGAACATAATCTAAAATAGGTTGATAATTTAATTATATGAAGAAAAGGACACAAATTACCAATATCAGAAATGAAAGAGGACAATTACAACAGACTCCAAAAACGGTAAAAGGGTAGCAAAGGCATACTGTAAATAACTATGCACACATAAATTTAACTAGTTGAAATGCACTAATTCTCTGAAAAACACTAAACCAACAAAACTCATTGAAAATGTATTAGTCCTATAATAATTTAAAAAGTAGAATCTGCTATTTAAAACTGTCATATAAAGAATATCCAGCTCATGATGGTATCATTGGTGAATTCTTCCAAATCTATAAAGAAGAAATTATGGCAATTCTACATAATCTTCCAGAAAAGTTAAAAGAAACAACTTCTAACTCATTTTATGAAGATAACTACTACTCTGATACCAGAACTATTTAAGAGTACAAGAAAACAGACCAGTACTCCCTATGAACAGTTACCAAACTCTTCAACCAACTATTAACAAATGGAATCAAGCAAGATATAAAAAGAATGTTGTTGTTGTTAACTGCTGTTGAATTGGTTCTAAGTCATAGAAACCTTGAATGGGGTTTTCAAGGAATAGCTGGTGGGTTTTAATCACTGATCTTGTAGTTACTAGTCCACTGCTTATCCCAGGGTATCATACCAGGACTTCAACTTTCTCCCACAGAGCGACTATGGATTCAAACTGCTGACCATGTGGTTAGCAGTCTAGTTGGTAAACCACTACGCTACTATGGCTCCTTATGCAGGTAGTAGTCAGGTGTTAAAAAATATTTGTTAAATTTAAATATTAGATAAAACATAGAAACTTAAATTATAGTCATTTAAAACTTTTGACGTTTTAGCCTCTTCCTTAAAAATATCATTAATTTAAAAAAAAAGAAATTTCAGTCCAGGGTACTATACCTGAATAATAGATGCTGCTTTATTTTGAATTTTTTCCAGTTTTTCCTTTTTTAACATGAACAATTTTCTCTGTGCAAAGAATCTTCGCCAATATTTCTGAATGACCAGTGCTGCATTAACTTCCTTTCTCATTCGACGTTTAGCTAGGAAGTTGATTATAGCTGACTGAATAATTCTTGCAGCTTTGTCTCTCTCCTTAAAAAATAAGCAAAAGTAAAGCATTAATTAACAAATGTGAATTAAATACTTAATCACTTAAGCCTCTGAATAGTCTTTGTAGAATATCACTTGTTAAACATTAATTAAATTGATCTTAGGAATGAAATACCCCCAGGCTAAACTACCGAATATGTTCCTGTTTGGAATTATAAAATATAAATTATAAATACTTGTGGGCATGTTGAAAGTATGCCAACAGATAATGCTTGTAGATATATTTGCATGATGAAACAAAGATTCCAAGAAATATCATCCTAAAATAAATATCAGAGCTATGTCTGGTATACCACGTAATGTGACATTTCTCAGATTGGCTCCACTGAATTCATGTTTGATTTCCAAGAGAGATAATATTTCAAAAGAGAGAGAGAAAAATTTCTAAAATAAACAAAATGCCTTACAGTATAAGGCAGCAATGCTTTGTTATAATCTGAACACACACACAGAAAGAAACACACAAATGAGAAGTCACTCATCTGGTACATAACACAGTGTAGATTTAAGCCACAGATGCCAGGGAACAGATATAGTTTGGGGTTATGAGAAATGATGTACATATGAACTGCCCAAGCGTATTAGTAGTCAAAGAGGAGTGAATGAGCTGCCCTGGGAGCACCAGAGGCCAGTGTCCTGTATACGTCTACTACTGTTACCTCAGGTAATGAACAGCTATGGATAATAATAAATATTGCATACTTGCAAGGTGACATTTACCATCCTCAACACTTCATGAGTCACCCCAATAACAGTCACATAAACAGAAGAGCAAGTACTCTATGACCATAAGGTAGGTAAGGCAGAGAGTTCATGGGACTTGTCAGTCCCAGAAGTAGCAGAACTAGGATTTGAGCCAGGCAGTCAGGCTTCTGAGTCCATGTCCTTAATGGCTTTGCTGTACTGTCCCAAGCTAGATTCTTCACTTCACTTCACCTGAACTGGAAACTAGAGTAAGAGTCACTCCCTCTAGTGGAAAAAACGACAGCTTAACCCTTCAGGGTATTTGTAGTTGTTTTAAGTGCCACTACAAGGAGCTCTGGTAGCAGAGTGGTTACAAATCGGGCTGTGAACCTTAAGGTCAGCGGTTCGAAACTACCAGCCACTCCGTGGGAGAAAGATGAGGCTTTCTACTCCTGTAAAGATTTATACCCTCGGAAACCCTGTACAGGGTCGCTATGGGTCGGAACCGACTTGACGGCACTTAACAACAACATGCGGTTCCAGCTCACAACTACCCTGTTATGGGTTTTTGAGGAGTGGCTTTGTTTTTTTGAACCACCAACCTTGCCACGCCTGAACTCCTTTGGAGACTCTAGGAGGCACAAATGGCTAATGAGCTTGGCTGCTAATGGAAAGGGGGAATGTTCAAGTACAGCCAGAGGCACCCTGGGAGACCTGGCAATCTATTTGCAAAAACTATCAACCAATGAATATGCCATAGGGCATAGTTCTGCGCTGACACACATGGGGCTGCTAGGAGTTGTAACGACTAGGTAGTGACTGCTGACATGCAGAGACTAGCTCAAGGTTCTACGTATTAACAGTCAGTGAAGGGGATCTGTGAGTGGAGGCTGCAACTCATGGGAAGACACTGAGCTATAAAATGGATCAAATCTGGCCAGGAAAGAGTCTTCCCTGAAAAATTCCTTAAAACAGTTCTAAAAGCTTCTAGCAGTAGAGCATTATCCTCCCATCAATTTGTGCGCAAGAAGGCAGATGCTGAGAAGTGACAGATAGGGCACAGACAATATATTGTAGCAAAGAAGACTATTTGTGAGCATATTAAGCCACTGCCTAGTTCTCAAATATTACTACAGTGACTTTGAGTAGGGCAGGTGCAAATTATTTCAATTAATGTTATTTCCATGTCTGGTAGAGAATAAGAATACACATGCTATGCTTGTTATTAAGTGCCAGTGAGTTGGTTCTGATCCATAGCGAGCCTGTATAGGGTTTCCGAGCAGTGACTGGTGAGCTTGAACCACTGAACTAGCAGTTCAAACTGACTTTGCAGTCCAGTACATGAACCCACAGCGCCACACCAGGACTCCAATCTATGTTTAAAAGTTGTCAAAGTTTAGCTTGTTTATGTGGCTACTAAGAACTTTATTATAATGTCCTGAAATTCAATAGAGAGATTCAGTATCTAGGGGAACATTATTTCTGATCTATTTATGAAAAATTGCTTCAGGAAGCTTGTTGATTGAATATTTAAAAAACAAAACAAACAAAAAACTGCAAATCTGTTGCCATTGAGTCAATTCGGACTCATAGCAACCCTACAGATATATACTGTTGCTGTTAAGTGCCGTCAAGTTGGTTCCAACTCATAGTGACCCTGTACAGGATTTCCGAGAAGCAGCTATTGAGTTTGAACCACTGGCTTTGTGGTTCAAACCAACCTTGTGGTCCAGTGTTTCTCTTACAGTGCCACAAGAGGACACCAAGTGGTTAGGGAGATAAAAGAATTAAAATAGTTTGTTCACAATATTTTTTTCTCAAAATCAAAAAGAAGTTATTTTACACTAATATAAGTTTTCATACCACTAAGATGACAAAAGGACACAATAAAAAAAATCCCTATTCCCATATCTGGAGTCGTGGTATGCCACTGTGGGTTAATGTGCTGGACTGCAAGGTTGGTAGTTCAAGCTTGCGAGCCACTCCTGGAAATCCTATACGGGGAGTCAGATCCAATTAAATGGCACTTAACAACAACAACAACAACATTCCCATGTCTAGGTCTTAAACATTCAGATAGATATATAAAACAATGGAAAACACAATGCCACTTTCACCAACGACTAAAGGAAAAGCTTGAAGACAGTGTTATTACAAAAAAATGAGGTTGCACACAGAACCCCAAATCAGACACTTGTCACACAGGGCTAAGCAGCAATAATTAAGGAAAAGCCTCACTGTGCACAGCATGAAATCACAATGAGCACTCCTACTCTCTCTGATGATATGGAGCTTTTCCATCATTTCTTTTTGCAGATGTAGTCAATTTGATTTCTATGTATTCCATCTGGTGAGGTCCATGTGTATAGTCATCTCTTTTGCTGTCTAAAGAAGGTATTTGAAATGAACAAACCATTG